CAATGTTCCACAGCCGGAAATCGAGCACAAACTATTGTCTCAATATTCTGACATCCTTCCGAACAACTTCCAATAATCTTTTACCATCATATTTTCAGTGCCCGAAACAGGCCTTTTAAAGTGTAATCCGACTGGACTCAAAATATGCTTCAGACCGGTTACAGGTACAAATCAATATTTATCATGGGCCAAAATAACATGTGCTAAAAAATCACAGATACTTGGAACAGGTACGAGCTTGGAACAGTCACACATGGAACCTGTGACTGAAAAATACTGGTTTGTGTCATCCCTACTATGAAGGCTTTCATGGCCTCGCTGAAAGGTTGTGTGGTACTACGGAACAGAGTTGGCTTGATTTTTTTCAAGTGATTTAAATCGTGATTTTAATCATGATTTAAATCACCTGACTTTTTTGGAAAAAAATCACGATTTAAATCAAAGATAATTTTTTCAAGAAACTTTATATTTCCACTCAAAAAATATAAAACAGACCACAAATAATTCTAAGAAATGAAAATCAAAATAGAAAACGGTACATGTGAACTTAAAAATTAAACGGCATTAATGGTAAACTCAATAATACTAAAACGGAAATCACTTCTCTTTCTCTTCATTTTCGTTATAAAGTCTGAAGAGGAACACTACTTTCCCTCCTTTTTCGATTCCCAGTCTGTTCCTGATATCCGAATGAACAAATCCGAATGTGCTGAACATCCTTTCGAAAGACGCAGACGATGCAGTTGCACAAAGAAACTGTTTTATAGCGGGCAAGTGTTTCGCAATTTCCGGTTCATCTCTCTATGATCGCCACCACTGAAGTCCGTTCATATTTTTCAGCATCTCATCAGAAAACATAATTTATTTGAAAGGACTGCAGCGAGCGTTGAATTTAATAACTAGTGGCAAAAATCCCGAGTTTCCATGAAGCTCACTGATAGTCTCCAAAGCCAGAATCTTCTCTTCAGGAGTTAAAGCGTAGTTTTGTTTCTCCGGGCTTAACATGTAAGCAATAAAGTAATAAGGTGTAAGAGCTTGCTTATAGCGATGTTGAAACTTCTGTAGTTTCTCTAAAGATAAATTTCTTCAAACTTATGAAAAGTTTCCACTGCTCTACGGCATCAGATATTGTGGCATTTTTCTTCTGGAGTACATCCAGAGCAACAGCGATAGGCTTCAGAAGGCTCAGGTACTCTTGTGCTGCATGCTTCAGTCCTATGTTTGAGACTTTTTTGAATATAGCAGAATCGATATCTTTTGAGTTATCCT